TTGACCAGGATGGTCTCGATCTCTCGACCTCGTGATCCACCCGCCTCGGCCTCCCAAAGTGCTGGGATTACAGGCTTGAGCCGCCGCGCCCGGCACTCCTCATTCTTTAAAAAAAAAAAATTGAATTGGTGCCTATTGTGTGCCAGGTACTGTTCTAGGGAATGTAGAGTAGAAAACGAGAGTGTCACTGCTGTGGAGGAGTTTATGATCCATATGTGGAAATAAACATCCTTGCACATGCTTCTTTATGTACAGACATGGATTTATTGTTCTTAAAAACTCTAAAGGTAGAATTGCTGGGTCAAAGGCCATATGCATTTCCAATTTCAATAGATATTGCAAACTGCCCACCAAACAGGTCATGTCAATTTCCCCTCTCACCTTCGGTACTGAGTATCTTTTCATGTGATTAAAAGTCATTATAGTTGTATATACTATATAGCCCTTTACTCTTCATTCTTTTTTTTTTAAAAATTATATTGGTGCATATTGTGTGCCAGGCACTGTTCTAGAGAATGCAGAGTAGAAAATGAGACATTCAGTGTCACTGCCGTGGAGGAGTTTACAATCCACATGTGGAAATAAACATGGATTGGTTTCTTAAACACAAAGTAAGTTCTCTAAATTAAAATGCTCATGATAACATGAGCCATGATTAAGGAACTAGGGAACAGGACATATCAGGACCCCCTTGTGGGGACACATCTGCTCCTGTGCAGAGGCTAGGGTGGAACCTGCTGCCTAATAATTTCCTCCCCTCCCATGTGGCACAGTCTTCCAGCAGCCCTGGGCGGGCGGTGGGATACGATGACAGGTCTTTTGGAGAACGTGGTGGACAGTTAGCAATGTAATCCCCACACACAGTATGTGGCAAGGAAGAACAATCCGTGTACACACAAAATCTGTCTATGAACTGAGAAAAAACACAGATACCTATGACAGATCAAGGCCTGATTTCCCTCATATTGAAAGACCTTCTACAAATCAACCAGAAATCCAACAACCCCACATGTAAGCAGACAAATATGGACATATCTCAGCAAAGAAAATATTGTGTTCTAGAAAATTCCTGTTTACAACATAAATTCCATAACTAAATGTGTACCTATGTGTTCCTGATCAGCATCAATTTGCCCCCATTGTAACTGTTATCACCATTTAAAATAGCTAACCTCGGAAGAGTGCCCTGAGCTCACACAGCAGCACTTGGTCTCCTGGTCTTTTCTGTCTTCCCTCTTGCTTTTGACTTTCCATGATTCTCACCATCACATAGGCAGGAATTGCACACGTGCTGCATAGGCTGCCTGTTGGCCACTATCAGCCATTCCTGCCCTTCCCTGCCTTGCCTCAGTAACAGAGGTGGCTACTTCCTTCCCACCAGGCATTACCCCGGCAGGGACCCCACTGGGGCTCTGCAGAGATTCCTGGATCCCTTTCTCTGAGTCTGCCCTTTCACTTAGCATGTTTTTGCTTTTGATCTGAGGCTCCTGCAGCTCTTCTGGGAGGGCTGTTCTTGTGCTACTGCCCTTTTGTGCCCACCTATAGAAAGACTGAAGTACCTGGGTTATCACTGAGGGTATCCCTTAGCCAGTGGCTGACAGGCATAGAAGAATGGAAGCCCAGATACCCTGCCTGGGGCAGGGACATCTCAGAGGCATCATTTACAGTTGAGAGCTCCCCTCCAGGTCAGGCTGAACCTACCTGTCATATAACTGTCTGAGATCCTTGCATGGCTATCCTCCTTCTAGCTCCTGACTGATTTCTTCTGGGAGCATTTCTTCTGGGAACAATCTTTGTTTCAGGACCTGCTTCTAGGATACCTAATGTAAGACGCAGTCTTCTTCCTTAGTAACAAAATCCTGAGTTTTATTTTGGCATACGGCTATCCTGAGTAAAGACTACATTTCCCAGCTTCCTTTGCAACTAAGTTCTTGCCAATAAGATACAGGGCAGAAGTGCCCTGTAGGACTTCTAGGAAATCCATAAAGGGAGGTCTGCTGATGGCTAGTGCCCATCTTGGACCCTGAGGGCAAGGGACACACTCTCAGGATGTGGGAGCAGAGATCTGGAAAAGGCCTGGACCTCTAACAACCTCATGGATCTACAGTTCTAAACACAGATTGTCTACCACCCCACATTTACCACACAAGTTCTTTTATGTGAGAAATAATTTTCTCTCCTGTTTAAGCCAATGTCATTCAGGTGTTTGTTCCATGCAGTCAAATTTAATCCTGTTTTACAGACCAGACCACTGACTCTGATAAACGACAGATACTCACTTTACCAGCCTCCCTTGTGCCTAGGCTTTGCCAGTGCAACCCAGATCTGGCTGATGATGTATAAGGAAAGGTCTGGGGGCAAGAAAGGTATAGGAGGAGGTTCTAGAAAAGATATTTCTTCCTGATGCAAAAAAACAAACAGGTGCATCATGTCAAGCTCTCTTTCCACTCTAGCAACCTATTCCCTGCTACCTGCCTTTGGCTGCAACTCCAGCACGTGAAGATGTGATGTCTGGGGCTGTGGCAGCCATTCTATAACTGTGAAGCTACAAGTCCATGGACAAAAAGCCAACCAGCTGAGGATGCCTGTGCAGAAAAATGGAGAGAGCCCAGGTTTTTCAAAAACACTGAGATCTCCCACTCCAGACCAGTAAATAGTCCACATTGTTAATCAGGTTTTCTATGACATACAGCTGAAAGAAGTCTAACACGGGGCAAAGCACCGAGTAAAACGAGGAAAATTTATAAAACCTGGAGGTGATCAATTGTCAGAAAGTCTGCTACTACAACCTCTTGGAGGGTGGCTCTAGTTTGGACATTTTTGTTCCCTCCAAAATTCATGTAGAAACTCAAATCCAAATGCAAGAGCATTGGGAGGTGGGGCCTAGTGGGAGGTGTTTAGGTCATAAGAGTGGGTTCTCTCCCACTCTTCCAGCATGTGAGGACACAGTGTTCCTCCCCTTCAGAGGATGAAACATGCAAAGCCCCATTCTGGAAGCAGAGACAGACACCAAACACCAAATACTCACCAGACACCAAACCTGCTGGTGCCTGGATCTTGGACTTCCAACCTCCAGAACTGTGAGAAATAAATATTTGTTCTTTATAAATTACCCAGTCTCATGCATTCTATTATTTCAATACAAAACACCCTATGGGGGGATGACTAGATTCCAGGAGGTGATTATCTGTGCTAGGCTGCCTCTGAGGGCAAGAAACAGCAACTCCAGCTTCAAATAAGTGAAATAATAAGAAATAACCTCCAGGATCAGCTGATTCCTGTGTTCAAAAATGCCATCAGGAACCCAGGGACCTCCCCTCTCTCTGCTCTGCCACTCTTGAAATGGGCTTCATTCTCAGGCAGCCAGCAAGACCAGGGCACTCTTCTGGGCAGCACAGCCAGACTTAACCAGGACCTATCAAGGACCTGCACTCTCCCCCTTGAATTCTCCCTCCAGATACTTTCATGTCATCTCTCTTTCCACTCTGGCAACCTACTTCCTGCGACCTGCCTTTGGCTGCAACTTCAAACATGCCAGGTGGAAGTTGCCCCCGCCTCTGCACTTGTGTCTCCTCTGCCTACAGTGCTTTTACCTACATGTCCACCTGGCTCCCATGGCTCCTTCAGGTCCTCACCCAACTATCACCTCCCCATACAGGCCTGCCCTAACCACCTTTTAAGATTAACCACCTCCCGACTCCCCACTTTTTCTCTGGCTTCATTTCTCTCACTGGCATGTAACTGCGTCCAACATAAGGCACATTCCCTTGGCCTTATTGAGTGTCTGGGCCCCACCTGGCTAGAAGGTGTGCTCCAGGAAGGCAGAAATGTTTGTGATTGTTTAGCCTCATTGCCCCAGGGCCTGGCAGAGTAGGTGTTTTGCAGTTATCTGCAGAGGGAAGGAAAGATAGGGACAGACAACACCCAGAGGAAGAAGTGCAGAAAGAGAGGATCTTTCCAGAGATGGCACCACGTCCATCAGCCTGCAGGCTTTGCTCACATCTCATGCAGAACTAGCACATGCTCAGCCTCAACCACCCACTGGCACGGAGAAGGGATTTCCTTTAGCCCCATAACAGCACTGGGGTCCAGGTTTGGAGTAGGGGTAGACCTCTGAACAAAATGCAGGATGGAGAAATGGATGTCGGGAGTTCCTAGCAGTACCAGTTCTCCCCTCTGATCCCTGGTTCTCCAGGACTTTTTCTCTTGTCTGTGATTTAAAAACAATAGCTATCTCAGCCCTTCACTATCACCTGTCTAAAGGGTTGCCACCAGGTGCGGTGGCTCACGCCTGTAATCCCAGAACTTTGGGATGCCGAGACGGGCGGATCACGAGGTCAGCCTGACCAACATGGTGAAACCCCTTCTCTACCAAAAATACAAAAATTAGCCGGGCGTGGTGGCGGGCGCCTGTAATTCCAGCTACTCAGGAAGCTGAGGCAGGAGAATCGCTGGAACCCGGGAGGCGGAGGTTGCAATGCGCCACTGCACTCCAGCCTGGGAGACAGAGAAAGACTCTGCCTCAAAGAAAAAAACACTTGCCAACACTTGCTGCCTCCATTCCTCCATTTCCATTCCCTTAAGTCCCAACCATGCCTCAGCCGCTGGAATCCGGCTTCCACCCCCGGCCTTTAAATCTGCCTCGCGCCTGGCTTATCAATGACTTACTTGCTTCTGAGACCAATGGGACTCTCAGGCCTTATCTTACCCTGCCCTGCTGCCCACTCCTCCCTCCTCAGCGCCTCTCCTCCTGGGCAGGCCCGTCTCCAGCCGCCAGGCTCCGGAGTCCTGGGCTCCCTACCGGAGTCCTTCACCCTCCCCTCCAGCCCCCAGTCCTCTGGCGCCTGACTTCTCCCACTTTCACAGTGACTGTGCCACGAGGAGCCCCATCAATGCCCAGTGCGGCCCGCCCCTTTCTCTGCCTGTTCACTTCCACCTGTTGGGAAATCACAGCCCTAAGGCTTGGAGAATCCAAGCAGTTTCCCTCTAAAACCCCAGGGTTGCGAAACCGCAGGGGAAACGCCGAGTCCCTAAGCCGGGCTTGGGGCGCGGGGCGAGGTAGCACGGGCCGGCCGCGATCCCTCAGGGGAAGACGTCCCCACTGTCCCCCCCACCCCCACCCCTTCCCGCGCTGCCGGGGCCGGAAACACCCGACCCCGCGCCGCGAAGGCGCCGCCGCATCCTGGCACCAAGCCGGGGCGGCGGGGAGGGCAGAGAAAGCCCAAGGGCTGAGGGAATCGTGGAAAGGGCGCGGCCCCACGGAGATCCCGGCTCGCTCCAGACGTTCGCCCCGGGGGCGGAGGGGAGGGGCCCACCGCGGCCTTATTTCCGCGAGCGCCGGCACCGCCCGCTCTGAGCCTGGGTCTGTCGGGTGCCGAGCCAACATTCCCGCGTCGATGCAGCCCCGCCGGCCACCGCCGCCCATTCCAGGGTCCGGGCCATGGGGCCCGCGCCCCGTCGCCCCGCTGATCGCGCTGCTGCTGTTGCTTGCCCCGGTGGTGGCGGCCGCGGAGTCCGAGAGTGCGGAGCACCCGGGGCAGCCCCAGGATGCGGGGCTCCAGCGCAGGCTCCTGCAGCAGGCTGCGCGCGCGGCGCTGCACTTCTTCAACTTCCGGGCGGGCTCGCCCAGCGCGCTGCGGGTGCTGGCCCAGGTGCAGAAGGGCCAAGCGTGGGTGAGTGCGGAGCGGCGTGCCGGGGCGCGCGCCTGGGCTGTCCGCGCGCGGCGCTGGGCGGTGACACCTGGGTGCGCGCGCCCTCCCGCCCAGCGGCGGATGCGCGAGGGAAGGTGCGGTGGACACGACGCCAGGGGACATCCCAGCTGGGCCTGGCGCCCCCTAAGTGTCCCAGGGCGTGGAAGGGGCGCATCGGTGCACTGCAGAAACCTGGCTCATTTCTTCCAGCATTTATGAGGCCATAAATTTTTCACAGGGCAGCGCTCTTGACAGCTCCCATAGCTGGGAGCGAGATGCTTTGGGAAATTGAGGAACACGCTCAAAGGGCAATATTTAATTTTATCTGGAGATACCCAGAGTTGGTTGCTAAGCGGGTGGTTATTGTGCGCGCGCCCTACTAGTGACTGCAGCCAAAGTCTTGGGCGGCATTTCCAAAATCTAAGCCAGTAGCGATACCATACCGCAAATGAGAGTCTCTTGTTAATTGCAGGCTCAGGCCTGTAATCCCAGCACTTTGGGAGGCCAAGATGGGTGGATCGCCTGAGGTCGGGAGTTTGAGACTAGCCTGACCAACATGGAGAAATCTTGTCTCTACTAAAAGTGTAAAATTAGCTGGATGTGGTGGCACTTGCCTATAGTCCCAGCAACTCCGGAGGCTGAGGCAGGAGAATAGCTTGAACCCGAGAGGTGGAGGTTGCTGTGAGTTGAGATATTGCCATTACACTCCAGCCTGGACAACAAGAGCAAAACTCCGTCTTTAAAAAATAGATAAAATAAAGAAAAAAGCAACTTGGCTAGGCATGGTGACTCACACCTCTAATCACAGCACTTTGGGAAGCTAAGGTGGGTGAATTGCTTGAGCCCAGGAGTTGGAGACCAGTCTGGGTAACATGGCAAAACACCATCTCTGCCAAAAATACAGGAAAAAAAAAAAATAGCTGGGTGTGGTGGTGTGCAGGGCTGTGGTCCCAGCTATTCAGGAGACTGAGATGGGAGTATTGCTTGAGCCCAGGACCCCAGGACCAGGAGGTTGCAGTGAACAGAGAATGCACCACTGCACTCCAGCCTAGGCAACAGAGTAAGGCCCTGTGAAAAGAAAGGGAGGGAGGGAGGGAGGGAGAGTAGAAAGGAAGGAAGGAGGGAAGGAGGGAGGGAGGGAGGGAAGGAAGGAAGGAAGGAGAGAGGGAGGAAGGGAAGGAAGGAGGGAGGGAGGGAGGGAGGGAAGGAAGGAGCAACTTATTCTTGTCACCTGTCTTAACAATCCTTGCTATCTGAGGTACAAAAAGTTCAGTTTTCCTAGTACAACACAGCAGTGAAGTAATGGACCTTGAGGACTTTGGATTTGCTCCCTGGTTACCAGGGGCAGGATTCCCTACAGAAAACCAAGTTCACTCAGATTCCTAAGGTACACCAGTTTTCAATCCCAGGGATTTTTTTTTCCCCCTTCCAACCCCATTTTTAAAAGGAATAATAAAATAGCTTGCATTCTCATGCATTTAGTCACACCCTTGAAAATAAAATAAGATACTTGATACCCTTCAAAAATAATCAAACTAGCTCTCAAAACCTGAGTGCATAAAGTAAAAATTCCCAGCCCCTGCATTGCTCCAATGAGGACGCAGGGGCTGAGTATTTTATATATGTTGTATAGATCTTAAAGAGGTCTTAAACATCATTTAGTCCATTGGCTTTGGGGAAGGTTATTTAAGTCTTCTCTGGCTATTTCCCTGTTTGGAATGGAAATAATTCATGTTCTGCCAACAATGTCAGGTGGTCTTAGGAGTCATGTAAGATGATATGAGTGCCAGTTGAAAAGTATAAAAATGTGAGTTCAGGGGCAGTCTGTTCATCCATTAGCTCTGTATTGAATGCTTACTCTGTGCCAGGTACTGGGCTAGATAGTGTGGCCTGATTCACATTTAAAATAGGGTCATTAGGGAAGGCCTCTTTGAGATTCTCTGTTTTGAAGCACTTGGCTGCCTGAGTAAAGAGCGCAGACACATCTACACAGAGCTTTCAGTGTGGTCAGAAGAAATTCCTGCCTCCATTACAAAAGCAGTCATAGCACTGGGGAGAAGTAAAACATGGGCTAGGTGTGGTGGCTCATGCCTGTAATCTCAGCACTTTGGGAAGTTGAGGCAGGCAGATCACAGGAGGTCAGGAGTTGGAGACCAGCCTTGCCAATATGGTGAAATCCCATCTCTATTAAAAATACTAAAGTTAGCCAGGCGTGGTGGTGCATGTCTGTAATCCCAGCTACAATGGGAAGCTGAGGCATGAGAATCACTTGAACCTGAAGGCGAGGGTTGCAGTGAGTAGAGATCATTCCACTACACTCCAGCCTGGTGACAGAGCAAGAGTCTGTCTCAAAAAGAAGTAGAACATGATTGGTCTCCAAACTCAGGTTTGCATTCTACCCAATCAGTGCATTGTTGGACTGAGTGCTCAGCTGCTGCACAACGTCTTTCATCCATCCAGAACTGACCCTGAGAGCGAGCAGGTAGCCAGGTAGGAGAGAGAAGTATAGCTAGTGGGGATCGCTCCCCATTCTAGGGGTCAATGCACTCCTTTGTAAGATGAGAGGCTGAGATGAAGTCAGAGTTTTTCAAACTAAGGGCTCACCAGGGTTATAAAGTCAATTTAGTGTGGGATCCTGTTGACTACGAAATAGTATAGGCTAGAAAAGATTAGAGTGCATTGCAAAAGCAAGGGTAAGTGGTGTCTCCAAATGTGTTTCAGATATATATGCATGACCTAGGTCACAATGAGAAATGCAGTTCTTGCTGTGGGTTGCAGCTTTAAAAACATTTTCAAAGCCTTTGGACTAAATGATGTTTAAGACCTCTTCTCCCTCTGAAATTCTTTCTGTGAGATCTTGGCACCTCAAGTTATCTTTCATTTTAAAAACACTGTTGCCCTCTGGCGGTAAAATGCAGCAGTAGTTGCGGTAGTAAATGCAAGGAAGAACTAAGTGCTAGCTGGAGTCCAGTGGAGGTGGAGTAGAGGAAGTATTGTTTTGTTTTGTATTTTGTTCCTAATTGTAGGTGAGATCACAGATTACGATTTGTGTTCCCTCACTGCCCCCACCTGATGCCTCTCTTTTCTGGCCTTACACTACCTTTCCATAACCAGTGAGGCTTTGACTTTTCTAATATTACATGGCTTAGGCTCAGGACCCACAGCTGGAGTGGTGGAAGATTTTGGATGGTGCTCAGCATTCTTGTGCTATCCAGGGTTTCCTGGATCAGCCCCACAATGTTTTCCCTGCTCCTGACTATTCAAGGCTGTCTCTTACTTGGAGACAAGTCTCTACTTGCCACTCAGCAACTTCTGGAGCCACTGCTTCTGCGTTGTGCATTTGGTGAGAGGCCAGAGTTTTACTAACATTTTAAGACACTGGCTGAAATCCTCAAGTGTACACACTCCAGAAGAAAGTCAACCCATTCCAGGCCGGACACGGTGGCTCAAGCCTGTAATCCCAGCACTTTCGAGAGCCTAAGGCTGGTGGATCACAAAGTCAGGAGTTCAAAACTGGCCTGGCCAAGATGGTGAAATCCCATCTCTACTAAAATACAAAAATTAGCTGGGCATGGTGGTGGTGGGTGCCTGTAATCCCAGCTACTCGGGAGGCTGAGGCAGAGAACTGCTTGAACAGGGGAGGCAGAGGTTGCAGTGAGCTGAGATCGCACCACTGCAGTCCAGCCCGAGTGACAGACCAAGGAATCAGCTGTTTGGCCACTTAAACAAACAAACAAAAACAAAAACAAAACAAAACAAAAACACGCCCTCTGACCAGGCCAAGACCAGTGGTTAGAAACATACCAAGTGTCTTGGGAGAGGGGAGTTAGGCCCATACCTTAATTGCTTCAATTTAAAATAAAATCTGTAAGTGTACATTTATCATCCACCTTTGGTATGGGGCCAAGGACATTTAATTGGAGCTCCCTGAAGTCTGTGTTAGTCATTTCTTGCATTGTTATAAAGGAGTATCTGAGGCTGGGTAATTTATAAAGAAAAGAGCTTTGATTGGCTTATGGTTTTGCAGGCTCCACAAGAAGTGTGGTGCTGGCATCTGCTTCTGGTGAGACCTCAAGGACCTTACAATCATGGCGTAGGGAGCCAGCATGTCACATGGCAAGAATGGGAGCAAAAGATCAAGCAGGGCATGGCCACACACTTAAACAACCAGATATTAGAGCAAAAATTCACCTATCACCAAGGGGATGGTGCTAAACCATTCATGAGGGACCCACCTCCACAATCCAGTCACCTCCCACTGGGCTCCCCTCATCTCCAAACTGGGAATCACATTTCAACATGAGATTTGGAGAGGACAAACATCCAAACCATATCACAGTTTTTCTAGCAAGAAAACACACTCATAGGGAATCATTTGTGGTTTCCATTTTGTTTTACTTATAGTGGAATGAGCTCCCAAAGAATATGCTGAATAATCCTCTGCTTTTACTTTTTCTTGACTAATCTTGGCTTACTGACACCAATTCAACAGCTAAATTTCTAAAGCATTTATCTTGGATTTCATGAACATGACATCTTTGTTTATACCCGCCCTTCACCACTTTACATAACATTTATTTATGTAATTAGGTACTAAGTATATCTGATATAAGCCAATTTGAGAGCAAAGCAGCTGGCTTTGGGTAAGCATCAGGTCAGCCCCATACAGGCCACTAGGCAGGAGCCCATACCCTGGGATTCAGGCCACCATGGGTGTGACAGCAAACATGGAGCCTGTCCACTAGGCCACAGGGCAGTTAGGAGAGCACTTACTCCACTATGAAAAACTTCATTCCTTTGTGACTTTCAACCTATAAAGCACGTTAATACAATATAATTTATCTAATTACCGCTCTTGAGGTCTCCTCTCCATGAATGTCAATAATTCAGAGGTGATCATTCAGGAGACGAGGAAAGCAAAATATTAAATAGTCCATAGAAACAAAAACTGGAGAATTCAAAAGGCTGCAATGAACACTAGA